AAGTTCAAAGATGAGAAAATTAAGTAAATATTTTTCCAAGACAGAGTTTTGCTGTGTAGTCCAGGCTGTCCTTGAACGTGTAATCCTTCTGCTACTGCCTCCCGGGTGGTGGGATTATAGACATGCACTACCACACCTGGCAACTAATATGTTTTTAAGGATGCATACGTAGTTGGTGAAGCCATAAAGAGAAAGAGAATGATTATCATAGTTTGGCAGCGAGGGGAACCATCTGAAAGGATCCTGAAGGAACTCTGGGTCCTTCAGATGGATGGTGCTTGTTTATATTATTATTAAAAATTAATAGGTGTTTTATACACTCTTCTGTATGAATTATATATTGCAGAATAATAGGGCAAAGAGCTAAGAAGATTATTGTAATTGCCTTTCTAATTCTTTCTTTCTTCTTGGTAATTTGTTATTGGGTTTGTTAACCCTTCCCAATTAAAGGGATTTCTTCAAGGACAGAGGAAGAAATGTATCCAGTATCTACTGCTTTGCAATGGCTTATCAGACAGTTTTAAAGTTCACCTTAATGTCAAATCTGTCTGTGAGGATGAATTTGTATTTCAGAAATATTGGAATCTGCTATTAAATGGGTTCATCAATTGAAAGAAGAATATCTTCAAATACTAGAATATCCAACAGTAGATGGTTGACTGAGTTATCATACATTCTCTGCAGTCACTAAAAGTCAAGCTTTTTGAAAAGTATTACCGATCTGGAAAAATATGTAGAAGATATTTTTTAAAACTCAGGTTATCAAACCACATGAGACCCCTACATAGTAAGAAAGCTTAAAGAGTGTGACCAAAGTGTTTTCTTTTTCTTTTGCCTTTATACACTGTCCCAGTTTTTTAAAAATAATATCAACATACTATTTTTGTACATTTGGACTAAAGGAAAACTGATCATTAATCTATATTGAAGACAATGTTTGTTTATTTATTTATAGACAGGGTCTCATTATGTAAGTCAGGCTGGCTTCAAACTCAAGATCTTCCTGCTTTTGCCTCCTGAGTGCTGAATTTACAGGTGTATGCTACAATTTTATTTTATTTATTTTTTAAGACAGTTTTAAAATAGGACTTTCGGAAATATTTTGTGCATTGGAATAAGAACATGACCTCCCAAGGGACTACTTTAAAGGAGAAACATCCATTTTTATGTATCTATTTATATAGCCATCCTCTGTATCAAAGGATTCCATATCCACACATTCAACCAACATAGAAAACATTCAGGGGCTGGATGAGTATCTCACTTGCTAGGCAGGCGCTCATAACACTTGAGCTACTCTGCCAGCCCTGGGTGAGTATCTCAAATAGTAGAACACCTGCCTAGCAAGTGCAGTGCCCTGAGTTCAAATCTTAGTACCACCAAAAAAGAAAGAAAGATAGAAAGAAAAAGAAAAACAACATTCAGGAAAAATGGTGTCAGTACTGCACATCTTCAAACCTTTTCCCATCATTATTCTTTAAACAATACTATAAAACAACTTGCATATCATTTGCATTGCATTAGGTATTAGAAGTAGTCTAGAAGGGAATTAGAGCATCCAGGAGGATGTGCACTGGTTATACGCAAAAATGATACTGTTGTATAGAAGGGACTTGAGCATCCTCAGATTTTGGTATGTGCAGGACAACAAATTACCGAGAGAGAGAGTCAGGAAAGCAATTATAGTAATTTAAGCTATTTGACCTTTCCAAGAATTAATGTAATGACTTTAAAACATAAGGTAATAGTGCAACCAAAAAACCAAACCACCCCAAAAATTTAAACCAAGAATAGGATGCTCTGAAAAAAGAACAATCAGAATAAGAACAAGTTCTTGGAAATTAAAAACATTGTCTATATTCTGTAGAATGACCCCAAGTCAAGGCCAAGGAAATTGCCAAGAAAATAGGGGGAAAAAAAACGACAAAGAAATGAAGTACTGTAGAAAAAAAGAATGTTAAAAGATCTGGAATATGCCTAATCCTGTTAATAAGAGCACTAAAAAAAACTACAGAAAACATGAAGTAGTAATTTTTCAGGGAAATTTTCTAAGAATGGAAATGTAGGAATTTGTAAGCTTAACACAGAGAATGAAAAAAGGCCTGCACCAAAGAATCTGTAATTCAGGAAACCCGAGTTAAAAATGAGATGGCAGGTCCTGGGACATGTTAAGTTTGATCTAAAGTTGGCCTCCTTTTTTTTTTTTTTTTTTTTTGATGGCACAGAGATTTGAACTTAGGGCCTCACATTTGCTAGGCAGGGGCTCTTACAGCTTGAACCATTCTGCCAGCCACACCTTCATGCATGTTAAGTTTGGTTTAAAGGGTTCTATGTACATAGTGGACTGTATCATGACTCACATGTATAAACAGTCGGTACTTATACAAGTAGTTTAATTATGTTGAGTCTTAGACCTTGACAGGAAGCCAACTGTTCAAATCATACTTTAAATAAAACAGATGCAAGCTACAACCAAGGGGTTCTCTGTACATCCCTTCTATTTTCTGTACAGCTCTTTCTTTTCTCTGTCTATATATGACCTGTCATATGGGACAGGTGGGATGTGTATTTCAAACCAGTTTTGGTTCAGACCAGATCTGTAAGACTATATTTCCTTTGGTTTTGTCTTCTTTTCTTTTCTTTTCTTTTTTTTTCAGTACTGGAGTTTGAACTACTGGGTTTGAATGCAGGGCCTACACCTTGAGTCACTCCACCAGCGCCTCCCCCGACCTTTTTTGGTTTTTTTCAAGATAGGGTCTCACAAACTATTTGCCAGGGCTGGCTTCGAACCTTGATCATCCTGATCTCTGCCTCCTGAGTAGCTAGGATTATAGGTGTGAGCCACTGGCACCCTGCTTGGTTTTGTCTTTTAAGAGAAGAAAAAAACACATTATATGCAAATGATCAGGACTAAGAATGGCAATGTTATAACCTTTACAAGTATTAAGTTTAAAGCAGAACAGAGCACTTTCATGCATGCTAGTTCTCAGGCATCTTTACTCAAAAGAACACCTGCTGGCGAAACAAAGGCGTGACCAAGAAAAGGGAAGACTGAATTTCCAGGGGTTCTGAATTTAAGAAAGTTTTGAAGGGTGAGTCCAGAGCAGGGGACAGGAGGGAAGCCACTGGGGGCATGGAAGGGATGGAGTGTCATGGGCATAATATCTAATGTATTTGATATTGGAGAAAGATAGGACATGTGTTTGGGTTTGATAATTAGCAATAGGTACATTGAAAAGTAACCCTACAAAAATGAGGTAATTATTCATCCTAAGAAAAACAATTATTGAACAGTAATGAGAAAATAATCATAGTGCTTATGTGGTCCTAATAATACAATCACTGAATATTGATCTAACTGTAAGTGGAGGATAGGGTGAGAAGGGAATATGCCAGCTTAATTCTCCTTTGCCTTCTCAGGAAGGGAATAGCTGATGCTTAACTGTCATACATCCTGAAGCTGTGACATAATATTTAGAAGCATGTAATCAAATACCAGAAAAAAACAGCTGAAATAATTAAGATTTTTTTTCTAGGGAGTGAGATTGAAGGGAAGGTAGTAGAATGAGGGTAGAAGATCTGTTTTTCTTTAAAATTTGTAGTAATATATTATTTTCAACCTTAAAAGCAAAGACATTTATGTAATATATAATATAATTTATACACTATATTGGGTAAAATGTTTAAGGATTTCTCTGTGTGTGTGTGTGTGTGTGTGTGTGTGTGTGTGTGTGTGTGGTACTGGGGCTTTGCACATGCTAGGCAAGCTTTGTACGCTATTTCCTCAACCTAAAAGAAAGAAATTTTGACCGTGCTACAACATGGAAGAAACTTGAAGACATGATGCTAAGTGAAATGAGTCAGAAACAAAAGGACAAATACTGTACGATTTTACTTATATGAGGGACCTAGGATAGACAAATTCATAGAAAGACTACAGAATGGTGGTTGCCAGGGGCTGGGGGAAGAGGGAGGGACTGTGAGTGCTTAATGGGTACAGAGTTCCAGTTGGAGAAAATGAGAAAGTTCTGGAGGTGGATGGTGGGGATGTGAATATATGTGATGCCACTGAACTGTACACTTCAAAATGGTTAAGGTGGATAATTTTATTGTATATATATATATATATTACCACAATAAAAGTAACTTAAGAAAAATATTACTTGATTTTTAAATAATTATATGCATATTTTTATTTTATCAGAACATTAACTTTTAGAAAGCTCTGGATGAAAAGTATCTAGATTTTATGGACCCCACAGGGGACCTTTTAAATATTTTTCCCCAATTCTTATGTATGTTCTCCTTAGATAAGGAGTTCTTTTCAATTAAGGGACATACTATTGAATATAAGAATTTAGCAACTACATTTCAGGAAAGTTTGAAATACCAGGTTACTAAATGTAACAAAGGTGTGAATAAAGCTTCAAATTCCTTCAGCTTGAATAAGGACCTTCAGATGCAGGAATTTCCTTTTTATAGCCCCTGCTTTTCTGCAGCTAGGCTAACAGCGTGCAGTGCAGTCTCCCCTGAATGGTTATTCGGGTTCATCTCTGCATTTGTGCAGGGTCTGGGTGGGACTCTGAGTGAATTAAAGATATAGTAGCTGGTAAGTGCATGTTGTCACAGCTGATTTCTAGCTCATGAGTTTATTTTATAATCACTTTCCTTAACCTAGTCCAAATAGAAGTAGCATGTGTATTTGTGTCTTCATGGTTATGAGCAAGAAAAGGCCAATTAGCTTGGTACTGAGGGCCAACTAGTAAAGTGCAGTCCTCATTTAAACAGTGTTCCTCAAGTTTTCAATTGAGAAGCAGCTTGAAGAATTAAAAAACAATGGGAAACAACTTTGTGTATCCTCAGAGACCGCAGACTGCTTTCTGGCCTTTTAAGTTATGCCACTTGGTTTTGACAGGTTGCATTTACCTTCAGGAATTTACTACTATAAAGAGAGTTGTATCTTGTATCATCTAACCTTTCCTCTTTGTTCACAGTACCAGATGAGGACAGAAGCCCGGCGAAAAAATCTTCTCATTCTGATTTTGCATTATTTAACACAAGAAGGGTATGTTACTTTGCAGATATTTACAGATGCTTGCCCTTTTTATCCCTTCGCCTTTCCAGACACATGCCTTCAAAAACAATGAAGAGACTTTATGTTTTAGAAAAGTTTCATATTTACAGAAAAATGAGCAGAAAACACAGCAAACGTCATATACCCTGTTCTCCTCCCAGTTTCCTCTATCACCATCACCACCACCAGCATCATCACCGTCATGTTTTACAATACTGGGGATCAAACCCACGACTTCACACATGAGCTCTGCCCAAGCCCCTCCCATATTATGAGCATCTTGCTTTTATACGGTACATTTGTTACAGTTGATGAGCCAATAACACACTGTTATTAACCAAAGTTCATACTTTACATTAAGGTTTATTCTGTGCTGTACTGCTCTGAGTTTTGGCAAGTGTCTAATGACATGTGTCCACCATTATAGTATTATACACAACCACCTCGCTGCCCTAAAAATCTGTGCTCTATGTGTTCACCCTCCTTGTTCTTTTATCCAACAATCCAGACATGTACTTAGACTCATTGACCTACAGGTTGTTCACTTACGCATTTGAAAACTTTTAGTAACAGATCCTCCCAGTACATAAAATGCTTTCTTTTCCCCTTTAAGTTGGAAGGTAGCATAAAGACGAGGTTTCCTAGACACCCCGCTGGCTATATACACAAGCATAACTGTCATCAATTTTCCTTTCCTTCAAATATTGGATTTTTTTTTTTTTTTTGTGGCACTGGGGTTTGAACTCGGGCCTACACCTTGAGCCTTGAGTCCTTTCTTGTGATGGGATTTTTCGAGATGGGATCTTGCCAATTATTTGCCTGGGCTGGCTTTGAACCTTGATCCTTCTGATCTCTGCCTCCTGAGTAGCTAGGATTACAGGCATGAGCCACTGGTGCTCAGCCCAAATATTGGAAATTTGGCTTTTGGTTGAGGATCACCTCAGGAAAACCAAAATATGTGTGGGCCATAGGCTTTTAATTTTTAATAATATTTATTTATTTATTTTGGTAGTTCTGGGGTTTGAACTCAGGGTTTCATGCTTGCTAGTCAAATACTCTATCATTTGAGTCATACCTTCTACCTTGGAATGATCTTTAAAAGTCACAAAATGAAATCTTGCTGGATGTTGGTGGCTCATGCCTGTAATCCTAGCTACTTAGGAGGCTAAGAGCAGAAGATTACAGTTCAAAGCCAGTATGAGCAAGTAATTCTGAAGACACATCCACCCCATCTCCAAAATAACCAGAGCAAAATGAACTGGAAGTGTGGTTCAAACACTAGAGTATCTATTCTGCAAGCATGAAGCCCTGAGTCCAAACCCCAGTCTTCCCCCACAAAAAAAAGACATGAAATTTCTGCAACTGTATTTAAGAATTCTTTTATTTATTGATTGATTTTTGCAGTACTGGGGCTTGAACTCAGGGCCTTCACCTTGAGCCACACCACCAGTCCTATTTTTGTGTGTGTGTGTGCATGAAGGGTTTTTTGAGATAGGGTCTCGTGGAACTATTTGCCTGGGCTGGCTTTGAACCTCCATCCTCCTGATCTCTGCCTCCTGAGTAGCTAAGATTACAGGCATGAGCCACTGGCACCAGGTAGATTTTTTTTATTATTATTATTTAAGTCATTGAAGGATCTGAGTTTTTTCTTATTTGTTAAAATTTCAGATTCATGCATTTGGTAAACAATTAAATACTGCAAAATATTAAATTGCCATTGATTTACTTTCTCTTTAATTAAGAATGCTGTAAGCTTCTTAATTATAAAATGTGACATTCATCATAACACCTTAATATCAGAATTTTGGGAATGACTTTCTCCTCACTAGTAAATGTGATGAGTTTAAGACAATATCTTTGACACAAAAACGTTCCCCACTCCAATTACTTTGAAACACAGTTTTATCAGAAACTCTTTTTGGTGTTGGAGATTTAAATTTTATTGAGAAATGGTTCATTCTTGTCACGTCACCACCAGTCGCAAAGCAGGAAAGCTAGTGCTCCCTCTTGGAGTGAGCAGTCAGCTGTCAGGTGAGGCCCAACTGCCAATTCTCTGCATCCATTTGGTGCAGCAGGTGGAAAAGGAAATCTAAGCACAGTGGGCCTGACTGTGGTCCTCCCTGTGCCTCTGCTTCTCCATCTGTAGTATGAGAGTGGATGAGCCAGGCAGTCTGATGTGGTCCATATGGGTTGCTCTGCACTGTTCACCAGTCACCCAAGGAAAGTGACTCTAAAGGCATATAAGAAAGTGCCAGGTGTCTACTGTAAGACACAGGTGTAGGGTTTATTGTGGTGGTGGCTGGATGGGGTGGAGTTCATGGATAAGCACATAGGTTTAGGAGCCAGATTGTTTTCTTTCAAATACCCATTCTATTCTTTGCTAATCTGTGATCTTGGATAATTTACATAGCCTCTGTGCTTCAGTTCCCTTGTCTGTAAAATGGGATGATGGGAGATAGATAAGTATGAAGTAGGTACTACCTTTTTATTAGTTTACTTTTTGAGATAGGTGTCACTATGTATCCCAAACTGGCCTCAAACTCATGATCTTCTTACCTCAGACTCCCGAGTGCTGAGATTACAGGTATGTACCATCCTGCCTGGTTTCAGACACTGTTTTTATGAGGATTAAAATGTGTCATGTTTAAAACAGAGTCTGACACAAAGTAGGTTTATATATATATATATATGTGTATGTGCACCTGCTATTTTAGAGAAGATAAGATTTGGATTTCGTTCTTTTAATACCCAGCCTGGTTCAGCAAAAAGTCTGTGGAATGTGGGTTTGGTTCATCTTACTTCATTTTATTTTATATTTTTGGTGATGCTGGGGTTTGAACTCAGGGCTCTGAGATTGCTAGGAAGGCGCTCTACCACTTGAGCCATGCCTCTAGCACTTTTGTCTCTGATTATTTTTTAAAAATTTTGTAGGCATATAATAATTGTACAGGGGATACATTGCAATATTTACATATGTGCTTGCAATGTATCTTAGTTAGATTTACCCCCTCCATCATTGTCCCTTTTCTCCTCTTTCCCCTTTCTTAGAACAGTTTCAACAAGTTTCATTCTTCTATTTTCATATACAAGTTCAAAATAAATCCATCATATGCACACTCATTCACCCTTTGCTTATGCCCCCCACTGGTATTTTTGAGATAGGATGTTGCTTTTTGTCTAGGCTGGACTGGACTCCAAACCTGTTTTATGCTTCCTGCCATCACTGGGATAACAGGCATGTATCATCATGCAACTTTTTTCCATTGAGATGGAGTCTATAAAACTTCTTTTTTTGTCTAGGCTGTCCTACATCTTTAATTCTCCTGGTCTTAGCCTCCTGAGTAACTGGGATGACAAGTGTATGCCCAGCTTTTGGTTGAGATGGGATCTTGCAAACTTTTTGCCCAGGCTGGCCTCAAACTTCAATCCTCTTGATCTCATCCTTCCGAGTAGCTAGGATTAGAGGCGTGAGCCACCAGTGCCCAGCTAAGTTACTTTAGATATTTTCTATGGTCATGGAACCCTTGGAGTGATAGTTTTGCAGAATGTCAGTAGATGTTTCTTTTTCTTTTTCCTTTTTTTTTTGGTACTGGGGCTTAAACTCAGGGCCTACACCATCAGCCACTCTACCATCCCTTTTTCTGTGATGGATTTTTCTGAGATAGAGTCTCAAGAACTATTATGCCAGGCTGGCTTCCAACCATGATCCTCCTGATCTCTGCCTCCTGAGTTGCTAGGATTATAGGCGTGAGACACTGGCACATGGCTCATGGTGTTTCTTAAAGAGTTTTGTGGTTGAATAAGCCTGACAAACATTGGGTTCGATAAGGCCCCTTGCTTCATAACTTTGAGAACATCTAATTTACTATGCACAATGGGGATATCTGTGCTAATGTCACAAAACTCAGGATTCTGCAAACCAATTTGGCCAAGAAACCCTGTTTTCTTAGCTCATCTTTAGAGACTAGTTTTTTATGGAACACTTTAAGAACAGTTGGCACACTGGAACACTTCATGGATTAGTTGACTCAGCTGAAACTTGGACTCACCATGCTAGGCCCAAGAATTGTAAGCATAATATTAACAGATGCTCAATAAGTATTACCTGAATAGACACTGAGGAACTTACTAGAATGTAGATGAGTGCAATAATTAGAAAGCCGGACAAAGTCATTTATATGAGTAATTCCTAATTTTTTATTGCAATGTATTTTTTGATACATAATTTTTATCATGAAAAACTATGAAGACAAAACAAACATCCCCCCTTCAAAAAATATATATATATATTAGCATAGCCAACCTTTGTCCTTCAGTTGCTTTTATGGCTGGAATTTACTACTTAAAGGCATGCATTTCTCCCTTCTGCCACTAGATGGCCCTTTGCATCTCAAATAAATGAAAATTCTAGAGTTGATAATTTTTTGAGTTCCCGCTGGGAAAAAGATATGTGAGTGGATTATGAAGATAAAAAGTCAACTATAGGTATTTTTTAAAGGACATGTCAGTGTTAGAAAAAAGATCTATCCTTAACGAAGTGCTAAGAATTCTGCAAAAAGGACAGATTATTGTGGACTCAGGGAAAGCTTTGTAGAGATAATGTAAGCAGGATTTAATTTTTTTTCATTTTCATATTATTGTTGTACAGGGGATACATTGTGACATTTACAAAAGTGCTTACAATATATCATAGTTAAATTCATCCCATTCCCCCATTCTTAGAATAGTTTAAACAGGTCTCATTTTGATACATGAGCACATAATATTCCCCCATATTCACCCTTCTTCACCCTTTCCTTATATCCTCCGCCTTCCCACTGGTGACAACCCCCAGGCAGGACCTGTTTTACCTCCCTGTTTTTGTTTGTTTAAAACAGCTATATAGGGAGTTTCATTATGACATTTCCGTGTATATATGTATTGTTACCTGAATTGGTTCATCCCCTCCATTTTTCTCCTTTCTACCTTAGTCCCCTTCTTATGGTGATTTCAACAGGCTTGAAAATTCTATATTCATTCTTGTATAGGAAGTATATCAACCATACTCACCTTAACTTCCTTCTTTTACCCTCCCTCTCTCATATGTGACCTCCCCTTAGTGTGACCTGTTTTTCATAACATTTCTTATATTTGTATTAGGTCTGTATTTCACATATGAGAGAAAACATGTGGCCTTTGGTTTTCTGAGCCTGGCTAACTTCACTTAAGATGATGTTCTCCAATTCCATCCATTTATCTGCAAATGATAAGATATCACATTTTTTTAATCCATTCATCAGTTGTGGGGTATCTGGGCTATTTCCAAAGCTTGGCTATTGTGAATAGCACTGCAGTAAACATGGGTGTGCAGGTGTCTTTATTGTAACCTGACTATAAGCAGGATTTTAAAGACATGTAGAATATGGATAGACAGAGGTGATGGGAAGAGGTGCAGAGGAAGAAGGTATGTGACATAAGTTGAACAATCAAGTCAACAGAAAGACCAGAGTTTGAATGTGTGAGCAAAAATTTGTGAGGGGAGACAATGGAGGGACATTTAGTCCTTATGTATCCATCTTCTCAGGCCAGCGATTTTAACAGCTTCCCTCTCATGTCCTGTTCATTTTGCTCACTACTGCCTTGTCACTCAGAAGGCTTAAAAAAGAAGTTAACTAAAGCTGGGTACTGGTGGCTCACACCTGTAATCTTAGCTACTTAGGAGGCAGAGATCAAGAGGATGGCAGTTGGAAGCCAGCCCCCAGCAAATAGTTCTCCAGACCCTATCTAGAAAAAACCCAACACAAGAGAGGCTGGAGGAGTGGCTCAAGTGGAGCACTTACTTAGCAAGCACAAGGCCCTGAGTTCAAACCCCAGTACAGCAAAAAAAACTACAAAAAAACAAAAACAAAAAAGTTAACGAAGACCTGGAGAGTCTACTTACAGAGGATTTTTGAGATAAAGTCCTTGCTTCTAGTGCTAAAACCACTTACATTGGACAGCTTTACTATTGAACAAATTAAAAGTGACAGTTAAGAATGTGGTGATAGAGGCTGGGGATGAGGCTTAATGGTAGGAATGCTTGCCTAACATATATAAGACCATAAGTTCCCTTCCCAGCACAAAAAACATCCCCTTGTCCTTTCCCTCCCAAAAAGTCAAGGGTGATGTTGTAGACTTGTGCAGTCTCTGATCAGTTGTGGACTGCATAAAAGTGTCCAGGCAGGATATGTGGGTGTAGTGAGGGAAATAACAGAGTTTTATTGTAGGAAAAGGATTACAGGTGAGGTCTCTGCCAGTGGAATGGAGGCGCCACATGCAGGGGGAAAAAAAGGAAGACATTTTAATTTTAGGTCATTTTTATATCATCCTTAACTTGGAGGCAGGGAGAAAATCCCCCATCTCCAAAAGTTGCCTCAAGTCCCTGTGGGAGGAAATTTCCACTCTCACTTAAAGGATTTGCAATTGAAATGGAGATATCTGGACTCAGAAGGAATGAGTAAGGGAGGGGAGACTAGGGTGCGCTAAATCAGGCTGTATGGTTTTTAAAAGTCCCGAGCTTTCCCTAATATCTAGTCTGCCTCAGTGACAATGCTATTTATATAGGGAGATACTGTTCATGTACTGCTTAACTAAAAATCATCAGGAATAATATGCCTAAGCAGATACACTAAATTTACTTAGTGATGTTCATTGGCATATATTTGGAATTTCCCTCTGAGCTCATAGCACATTCTTTTGGAATTGCTCTACTAATGGTAAATCTTGCCCCTTAGGGTTGAATTTGGTTTTTAACAATGGCCAAATGTTACCTAAGATGAACACTGGTGAATAAAGAGGTAATGAAGTTAGGCAAATACCTATGTTTGGCTAAAAAGAAGTAAAGATAATCCAAAAGATTTTTTCTTAATTGAGTTATTTCTTAGACTTTAAAATACTTCCAGAATTGTTTCTGAACAACGGTGATATCCCGAGAATGAATAGTTAGCTTCCAGAGGCACTTGCTTTGAAAGACACTTTTTTTGATATATTTAATGTACGTAAGCTGGGTACAGTGGTACATGACTATAATTCTAGCACTCTGGAGGTCAAGGCCAGAGGATAGAGAGGTAGGGGCCAGCCTGGGTACATAGTGAGACCCTGTCTCTAAAAACCAAAAGAACCAAACCAAACCAAGCCAAATCCCAACCCCCAAACTACAACAAAAACTGGAAAAAAAAACCCATATGTAATTTTTTTTTTTTTTTTGGCAGCACTGGGGGCTGAGCCAGCGCTTTTTTGTGATGGGTTTTTTTGAGATAAGGTTTGGAGAACTATTTACCTGGGCCTGTCTTCGAACCATGATCCTCTTGATCTCTGCCTCCTTAGTAGTTAGGATTCACAGGCATCAGCCACTGGCGCCTGGCTAAAGCCTCATATAAACTCGTTTCTATCTAGTATACTATTTAATATAGGCTTAATCTTTGTATTGAGTCTCTGGATTTATAATCCTTGTTTGATTTTATTCTTTATACACAGTGTTAACTTTTTTTCTTCTGTAAAACTGTCAGATATATTGATGCAGCCAATGCTTTGGAGCAAGAGACTAAACTGGGGTTACGGCGCTTTGAAGTTTGTGACAACATTGATCTCGAAACTATTTTGATGGAATATGAGAGCTATTATTTTGTAAAATTCCAGAAGTACCCCAAAATTGTCAAAAAGGCATCAGACTCAGGTACATGGTTTACTTTCTAGAAATAAGGCTTTATCCCATTGTTAAGAATAGTTTTTCTGGTTCTGGTGGAATGGTTCAAGTGGTAGAACACCTGCCTAGCAAGCATGGGGCCCTGAGTTCAAACCCCAGTACCACACTCAACACACACACACACACACACACACACACACACACACACACACACAAGAATGGTTTTTCTGGCTAGGCTTGGTGGCTCATGCCTGTAATCCCAGGACTTAGTAGGTTATGGCAGGAGAATATAGCAAGTTAGAGGTCAGCAAGACCATATCTCAAAAAAAAAAAAAAGAAAGAAAGAAAGGAAAAAAAAGTGATGTTTTATCCTCATCTTATTCCCAGGCATATGGTGGCCCTTGTCCTGCACTGTAAGACTAAACCAGAAAAGTCATGCAGCCTCTCTTAGACCCAGAGCAAACAACTGAAACATGATTATCTCGTTCTTTCTTTCTTTCTTTAGTTTGTTTTTTGGCACTATTGATTGAACGCAGGGTCTCAAGCTTGCTGACCATCTGGATTTTGACACTCGTTTAGCTCTGTGGGCCTTTTTTGAGGAATGTAGGTTTTAAGACAAGGAAAACAAACCCCAGTGTTTGGCAGTAGCGCTTTAGAAGACAGCATCAATTTCTGTAGAGATGGAAGGGGCAGCTGGAAGAGGATGAATGACAAAAGACTTATTCTTGTTGGAAGACCTATTATCTATCTTGAAAATAACATGAAAATGAGTATTGGTGAAGCTAATAGCTCATGTATAGATAATGAAATGCTTTTGAAAGCCATCAGTCCAAATAATGATCAATATAATGCAAAGACCCAGTATAGGTTAGCAGTCAAGGAGGCTGGCTGGAGGGAAGAGGTAAAGCCAGGGTCCTAGGTTTTGTAATAACATTGACTTAGAAGTCTGTAAGTGGGGGAAGTAATTATAAACCAAGGGAGATCACTGCTCTGTTTACAAGGTACTTGTTAAGCCACAGACTTTAACATTTCATGTAGCGACCAGGAAACCGAGAGGAGCATCAATTAAAAAGAGCCAAGGCTGAATCTCAGAGCTGAGAGGGATATGAGAGGTATTTTCTTGGTCTTCCTTCCAATGCAGGGTTCAGAATTTGGCTTCTGTGACCGATTGTTAGGTATGAGACTTGAGAAACCACTGGTTCCTAACTACAGGGTTCCAAGTCCTGTTACCAACAGGATCTGATTTCTAGATGGCTCTTTCTCATATAACTTGGTACTCACCTTCTCCTGTGATATCGGACACAGTGTCTCTTCATTTTAAGGATGACTGGCAGAGTGTCCTTCAATAAACGTTCTCTGCCAGATTCATGCAATCATTACGGGGTCACACACACTTCATTAAAATGGTGTCAAGTTCATAGAACTCAGTGAAATGGCAGCTGTAAAATCAGACCGTATTGGAGTTGCCACCAGGTGCATGGTGTCTAACACATTTGCTGTCTTGAGGACCGGGGAGTCTTCCTCTGTGTGGAGATGCCTGGGACACTCAGCGGCCTTCTCTTCTCGGATTATTTCATTTCTCTCTAAATCAGAGTAGCTGAGTCTCTAGGCCAAAAGGCTATATTACAAATTTTTAAGAGATATATGTAAGCAAAAATATACCTGAAAAATCACTTTCTCTCTCCTAAGGTTACATTCTTCCTTTTTTCTCCCAATGTTTGTTTTGCTACAGTAGAAAATAATTTGTCACCAAGAAGTGTTGGAGGGAAGACCAAAAGGTAAAGTAAATGGTAATTCATCTTGATCAATTCAGCTCTAGGAGTTTGTGGTATCTGTTTCTAGAAGATTCTCCAGTGCACCTTCAAAACTGTCTACCAGCAATACCAGGCTGCGGTCTTGTGATCTTGGTGGACTCTGCCATAAAGTCCCTTCATATAACAGCTGTCCAAGACTTGAGCCAATATCTGTCAGTTCTACCAGGTTACTGCAAATACTTGTATCCAATGATACTCTGTCTTTCTAGACCTTGTGGCATGAAGAATATGGACCTCAGAGGTTGAAAAACCTTTTTATAAGCCTGGAACAGGTTTCTAGCTTGTAGTGAGGTCCTGGCATATAGTGAAAACTCAAGAAATATTTTTTTACCTCTTTTAAATAATATCAGTGCACTCTTAGAGCTCAGATCCTAAGCTGTCTGAAGATAATAATCTAGAAGGACAGGCTTATGGTTATGCCTCCCTGGTGCCAGCCTCCAAAGATCTGGCTTTTCCTTGCCTTTCCCTCCTTTTCTAATGCTCATCTCATGTGCCATTCCCCAGCTGCTCATGTCCAAGTCTCATTTAAAAATAGCTAGGGCTGGATCTCATTCAGACAATTCCTGGGAATCCAATGGGAGCCCCTCTATCTCCTGACACATTTTCCCACAAGGCCCCCACTCCTGCCTCAGTGTCCTTCCCATTCCTCTCTCCCCCACCCCGCCCAAAGTCATGTCCTGGTTAGAAATGCCCAGGGTGCTGCTGCTTGGGGATGGTCAGCTTTGGGGCAGCTGGGTGCGTGGAATTTTACTAACACAAAAGCCTAAACCTCAGGGACAGGTAAAAGTGGGGCTTCTGTTAGGGGCATAAAACCATTCAGGTAGTGAAAAAATCTTTAAAAATCTTAAAATGTTATTGAAAAAAGAAAATATATTGGGATCATAAACAATTTGTGCACTCTATATGCTTAATTTTGGGAATGACTGGGGATGTTTAGCTTGAACAGAGGACTTGGAGAGGGTGGTCCGTAGGACAGTAGAACAGTGCAGTAGCCCTCTTCATCCTTTTTAAGGAGATTGTGTCTTCTCTGCAGAATTCTCCTGGGTATACCAAGACTGGTGGCTGAAGTTAAAGCAGAGTGAATTTAGTTCCATATTCGGAAGAATTTTGCAGTTGTTGGTGCTCTTATCTTTGGTCATATTAAAGGAAACTTTGTGGATTAGTTGTATCCAATGGGAAATCAAAGTGGGAAAATGGAGTCCCAGTTCCTTGCCAGCCCCATAAGGGAGCTGAAGCAAGTTTAACTATACATATGGGCTGGTGGAGTGGCTCAAGTGGTAAAGTGCCTGCCTAGCAAGCGGGAGGTCCTGAGTGCAAATCCCAGTACCGCCAATAAATAAATAAATAGTTCATTAAAAAACAAACAAACAGAAAAAGTTGGGTGTGGTGACACACGCCTGTCATCCCAATGACAGCAGGAAGAGTAAAATAGGAGGATCATGGTCATGAGACCCCACCTCCAAAATGAGCAGAGCTAAAAAGGCTGGAGGTATGGCTCAAACAGCACCTGCCTAGCAAGCATGAAACCCTGAGTTCAAACCCCAGTACCACCAAAAAAAAAAAAAACCAAAAAACCCAAAAAACTATACAGATAATTCTATATAGATATATAACTTAAACTTACCTTATATTAATAAGAGTTTGCATTTATAAAATACTTGGTATTCCTTGCATACCATTATTTCATTTTTGTGCCAGCAAGCACCCTGAAGGATGAAATTTTCTTATTCTTGGTTGAGAGATGAAAGAAGATGCCCTGAGAACTGTCGGTGTCCACCTCTCACGATGCTCACCCAGTGTGTCCAACACTGGGGTCATCCTATGGGGACACGGGTGGTATTGTTCACATGGGTAGTCTTGCTGGCCAAATGGCTATGCATTTTAATTAAAAAGATGAACAACTTTTTCTTTCCCACAAAGAAATGGAGTTGAAGCAGCTGCTCTCTTAGATCACTTAGATCACAGGAGAAATGCTTCTAGCAAAACCTCGGGCAGATGCTTCACACACATAGGGACCAAAGAGCCACGAGAACAAAACAGCTATGATGTAGGAGTTGATGTCCTGCACCTCAAGAGGCAGGTCCTGCCTCTCTCTGGATGTCATCTTCTAGTGCAAACTGCAGATATTCCAATACCAAATTCTCTGTGTAATTATGGGAGTGTAGTGAACAAATACATTTTGCTCTTGTAGTGATGTATAACACACATTCAGTCAAATGCAGGCACTGTTGTAGCCATTACCACGTGCAGGCTGCCAGCAGGTTCCCTTTGTCCTTTCCCAGTTAATATGCCCCGTCTTCACTATTAGTTAGATAATATTCTGACTTCCAGCTCCATCAATTTGTTTTGCCTAAGCAAACAATGTTTGATGAAAAATAGTTTTACAAATATGAAGTATCTGTGACAACAGACATGGGGTAAGCTTTACTTTCCTCCCACAAGCCCCTTCTTTTTCTTTTTTTTTTCATTTTAAACTGTCTGAGACTTTATTGTAGTTTGTTATCATCTTTGTAATGAAACTAAGCCTTGCCTTTTCCTCCTATATTTTCTTTTTTTTTTCCTTTTATTATTCATATGTGCATACAAGGCTTGGGTCATTTCTCCCCCCTGCCCCCAACCCCCTCCCTTACCACCCACTCCGCCCCCTCCTTCTCCCCCCCACCCCCTCAATACCCAGCAGAAACTATTTTGCCCTTATTTCTAATTTTGTTGTAGAGAGAGTATAAGCAATAATAGGAAGGAACAAGGGTTTTTGCTGGTTGAGATAAGGATAGCTATACAGGGCATTGACTCACATTGATTTCCTGTGCGTGTGTGTTACCTTCTAGGTTAATTCTTTTTGATTTCACCTTTTCTCTAGTTCCTGGTCCCCTTTTCCTATTGGCCTCAGTTGCTTTTAAGGTATCTGCTTTAGTTTCTCTGCGTTAAGGGCAACAAATGCTAGCTAATTTTCCAGGTGTCTTACCTATCCTCACCCCTCCCTTGTATGCTCTCGCTTTTATCATGTGCTCAAAGTCCAATCCCCTTGTTGTGTTTGCCCTTGATCTAATGTCCACATATGAGGGAGAACATACGATTTTTGGTCTTTTGGTCCAGGCTAACCTCACTCAGAATGATGTTCTCTAATTCCATCCATTTACCAGCGAATGATAACATTTCGTTCTTCTTCATGGCTGCATAAAATTCCATTGTGTATAGATACCACATTTTCTTAATCCATTCATCAGTGGTGGACAAGCCCCTTCTGATATTTACTGTATACAGTATGCTAAGAGGTATTTTACATAGGCAAAGTATTTCTGGCATGTTGAATTAAAACCACAAGCAAATCCCTAGATTTTCTGATGTTTCATAAGAGAACTCCTTCTCCCTCCCCACCATTTTCCCGCTCTGATGTTCTTAAGAAAAATAGGAAGAAACATGGAAGGATGCTTGTAAATGTGTTTCAATGTGTTCTTGTTGTTTTTTCTTTTCTTTTTCTTTCTTTCTTTTTTTTTTTTTGGCAATACTGGGGTTTGAACTTAGGGCCTCATTCTTGCTAGGCAGGTGCCCTACCACTTGAGCCACTCCACCAAGCAATGTGTTCTTGAGAACTAAAGCCATCTGCCAAAGGGCTGAAGCTATGTGGTATGAAGGAGAAATGAAGAAGAAGAGTTGGGATGCTTGTGGGTGGGTGGTCTCTAGCCTGGTTTTGGAGGAGACCAGATGAACAAAGTGGGCAGATGGCATAGATAGAAGGAACTTGTTGTGGTACATCTGCATATCTTTCAAGAACTTTCCTTAAGTGTGCTATACTTGTTATTTATTTATCTCAAATTAAGTGGTTAGAATAATTTCCTCCAAAGTTTTTGTTCCTTGCTTAGGGTGGTGAGTGATACTTACCAAAATCTCCCCAAGATCAATCAGCAGAGGCTTCGACCCAAAACCACATCAGAGAAAACACGGGACCCCAAACCTCTCAATAAAGAACATCCTAAACAGGTCAGAATGACTCTACTTGATGTTGGTAATATCACACTTGATTGAGAAATAGACCCAAGAAAAAAGGTAACATTTATTTGTTAAGACCCTATCTTTTTTAAATTGCTAATTTAATTGAATTGCAGAATTGCCTGAAAGTTGTGGAGTTTTTGGTTTGTTGCATTAAAACCATGGGCAAATCCCTACATTTCCCAACCTTTCCCTTGGTCTGAGTGGAAGATGAGTGCCTTTGGAGGGGTATGATTCACTGCTGCAGAGCTTAATCCTCCCAGCTGAGGTAACTGCAGGTGGCAGGTCTTCCTGTCCCCAAACATATTCCCAGGTTCCTAAGTGTAGGCTGGGTGCAGTATGAGGTATGGCTGGGCCTCAGAGTCTCCTGCTGTGCTTCTCCAAAGTATACAAGGTTGATCCTCACCCCAGACCTCTACACTGGACTTGCTACAGGGGGAGAGGACAGAAAGGGGAGAGAGCCCAGCAGGTGGATGAAGCCAGTGGCTCCTGACTCAAGAGATCCATGTCTGGAACCTTCTTATCTAGAACAAAACATTCCAGACTTTAAAGGAAATAGGACTAGCAGAAACTGAGAAAAGAAATAGATTTAATGTGCAAGATTCCTGGAAGGAAAGAAATAAATAATCATGAAACTTAGTAGGTCAAAAGGAACCCCTCACCCTTGTCTATAGCTGTGGCCATTGGGCCTAACTCAGGCGGAGGGGAGGTGAGATGGGCCAGGAGAATACCATAGGACACTGACTGACTTTGTTTCACTTCAAAACCCTGCAAGCCCTGGCCAACAAGCAACCCTGGCCATGGGATAAAAGACAAGCCAGAGAGTAGGGATGGGCTGAGCATAGCTATTTCCTCCATTAGAAAAGCTGCCCGCAAGCCCGAGGCCTGGTGTCTTAGCCTTCCAGGGACAGCACCTTCCTCCTGGCACAGGGAGTTGATTAATTCATTTTGCTGGGTCTGCACAAAAGTGGCCAAAAATACAGGACTCCCCATCTACAAAACTGTATCTAGCATTTGAGTTTGCAGTTAGGTAAATGAGTCTCTCACTGCTTCTCAGCTGACTTCTCTTTGTCTTCCTCTTTCTTCAGGAGAGCAACAGTCGTGCTCACATGGAGAGTGTTGACTTTGGTTTAAATATATCAAGAATCCACAAGAACAGTGGAGAGGAAAACGCCCACCCACAAAGAGTAAGTGAAACTCAGAAGCCTAACATGGAAAGGAATATTCTTTTTCTTTTTAAAAATGAAAATCAAAAAATGGACTTTTGTCAAAAAGGAAAGTTAAAACAATATGATCAATGATTGGCTGACAGGTATGGGGGAAGGGCACTGGGGGAGGATCAAAAAATGGAATCTCCTTTCTGAAAGAATGGTCTGGAATGAGTCATCTACCTCTAAGGAGCTCAGTCTCCTCATTTGTAAATTGAAGGGTTTGGAAGACATGACTCTAATGTTCCTTTTAGCTTGAAAAATTCTGTGATTAGCTGGAGGTAGTCACAGAGCACCTGCCTAGCACCAGAAGAAAACATCTGTGGTCAATATGATACACTTTGTTCTCCTGCATTACTCACTGAGCTATAGTCTCATACTCGTTCTTTTCTGCCCTGCTGAACGTAGTTGATTGCTGGTGTCACCCTTCCTGGAGGCATAGCTCCAGGTATGGGCATAATTACACATGAACTATGAAACCTCAGATGATATAGGGCTGAGCCTTGATAGATATTTCTACCCTTTTCAAAATGAGCCTCGATAGTAGGTTTTCGAGAGAAAAGACCCAGATGGGCTGGATTTAGTCAAAAGGGAGGGTAAGTGTGTCCTTTGAAAATGAAAAACACCTCACTCTGAAGAGTATAGCCTCTAGGCTTGTCCTTCTTGTTTTTTTTTTTCTTTTTTTATTGTTTTATTATTCATATGTGCATACAAGGCTTGGGTCATTTCTCCCCCCAGGCTTGTCCTTCTTGAATAATCTTTCTTTAATCAAATTCTCAAGCCATGGCCTGCTGGCTTAGCTCTGAGTGGCTCTTTAGGCAAACTGAGCTCTATGCCTGTTTGAAGGGGTGTCTGAGAACACCTCCCTGGAAACCATGGAGAGTTACCTCACTGGCCTGAACTGCCATGAGAGCTTACTGAACTGGATAGCTGCTGGAGACGACGCCATTTGAAGCAGTGTCTCCCATGGAGAAATGGTTCCTTGTTAACTTTCCCTGCTATCGCCATGTTTTCCGTCACCTTTGTGCCTAGCAATTTCGTGGCTTTAGTTTCTCTTGTGAGTGCCTCTCATTGACAAAAATGGATATTTCTGATTGGATCACAAGGAAGGGACAATTGAACCCAGCACTTAACCTTTGAAATGGTCAGGCTATAAAGTCTCTTTCTTGCAGAAACGGCCTCAGGGTAAAATATGGATACTTTTCTTCCTAGCATTTCAAAAGGTTGCCTGGGCTGAACTAACAAGTATGCACTTCCAGGGGCGATCCTCAAAATGTGTCTATCATTGTCGTGTTTGGACCCCTAGCTTCAGGATTTCCAACACCCCTGCAAATTTCATAGGTGTGCTATTCTTAAGGACATGGACTTGGGAGTCAGCCTGCCGCAGGTGTTTCCCTGCTGTGTAACTTTGGATAAATCGTTTATCATCTCTCCAAGCCTCACTTCTCTCATCTGTAAAATGGACAAAACCATCATTCCCACTTTAAACGCCAAAGTGATAGGAAATTCTTAGTACAATACCTACCACATAATAAATTCTAGACAAACATTGAACACTATTACTGTAAATGTTTTTTGCCTGCATTCTTGCCTTTTCCTTCCTTCCTCTAGGGGAGACAGGGTGACATTGGAAGGAGTATGGGCTTAGGAGACAGATATTTGGACTTGAATCCTGGCCTTAAGTCACTTGTTAGCTGTGTGTCCCTGGGCCAATCATTTAACTACTTTGGCCTGACTTCCACAGGTGAGAAACAAGGATGTCAAACCCCCCACAACTAGCAGAGGTGTTCTAAGGATTAGAAATTATCCTCACAGTGTGCCTTGCACACCTGCTCCATCCCAGGTGTCCTAGTGAGTGATGGGTGCATCTAGTCAGCCAATAGGAACTAGCTCTTCTCCTGTACCAGTGGGTTCTTTCTGCATGTGTAATGTTTCAGAAGGATGAAACCAGACAGGGGAAGTGGTCATATCAGGAAGCAGATGTAAGTCAGGAACTGCAAAATGCTATGAACTTTTATGAAAGTCAACGCCATTCTCAAAAAGTATTTATGGTTTTATTTAGTATCTCAACTTGAGGATGTCCTCTTGTTCAATGTTAGTGGAGTTTTTCTGTTTTTGTTTTTTTTTGGGGGCTTGAACTCAGGGCCTCACACTTGCTAGCCAGGTACTCTACCACTTGAGCCAGTCCCCCGGCCCTGTTTTTTTGTTGGGTATTTTTGATATAGGGTCTTGGGAGCTGTTTGCCTGGGCTGGCTTCGAACCACGATTCTACTGATCTCTGCCTCCTGAGTAGTTAGGATAATAGGCCTGAGCCACAGGCGCCTGGCTGAGTGCAGTTGCTTTTTAAAACTCAACTTGAAATCTACCCTATATCTCAGGACATCTAAATGTGGACTGATTTAATGAGATCAACCTACTAAGGATTGTTTGCTTGTGTGTGTTAATGGCTTACTCCCTTTCAGGGCCAAGTCATCGACTTCAAAGCTCTGCTCACCGATGCTATCAAAGGAGGAACCAGTGAACTTGCCTTGAACACCTTGGACTGTAACCCAGACCCCACAGTAAGTGGCTAAGATGTGCTACTCAGCTTCCAAACTGCCAAAATCCAAAATTTGGAAGTATCATTTTGAGTACAGTGAAAGCTTGAGATCAGGTCAAAAATCATGACAACCTGTCACCCTGGTTTCACTAAGATCCTGCTTTTCTTCCTAAATGATGCAGCTGTAAGACTGTAACATGAGCCTTTCTGCTTCTCTCACTAGGAACGATTGCTAAAACCTCTGAGTGCATTTATTGGCATGAACAGTGAGATGCGAGAATTGGCAGCGGTGGTGAGTCGGGTAAGATCTGCTATTCGATTCACAAATTTACGGAGGCAGATTGGGGCTCCTGGAGCATTGTGGGCTGCTTCTTTTATTAATAACAATAAATATGATCATTTATTTATAAACTGCCCCCACTTGCGAAGGCACTCATATTGTTTAGAGGCACAATAATGCATGATAAATAAATTATAGAATCATAAAATTACAATATAAAAAGCCCACCATCTCACTATAGAGGCCATGAAAACTGAAAGAGAAAAAGACTCAGAAAGGAAAGGATAGGTGAAAGGTTTTATAGCATGGCCTGGAGTCAAGAAAAGAAGCCTCTTAGAGGAGGAAAGGACATATCTGCATTTTCTTCTAAAAAGTCACAGCCCAGAGCCAGGCACTGGTGGCTCACGCTTGTAATCCTAGCTACTCAGGCAGAAATCAGGAGGATTGATGGTTTGAAGCCAGCCCAGCAAATAGTTTGTGAAACCCTATCTCAAAAAAACCCATCACAAAAAAAAATAGGGCTGGTGGAGTGGTGCAAGGTGAAGGCCCTGAGTTCAATCCCCAGTACTGAAAAAAAAAAAAAAGTTACAGCCCAGAAATACAGAGGTCAGGAGTCTAGTCATCTCATAATTGGAAATTTCCATGAAAAATAAGAGTCATTGGAAAGATTTTACCAGACTACAGGTTTTTCAAGTTTGCTATGCAGAATCTCAAGGCAAGTTTAATGGCTAATGAAACAGGCTTTGGATCGGTTGACTTGCACTTGATTTCTAAATCTTTCTCTTTCTGGTTGTGTGACTTTAGGCAAGCTTCTTGGGATTAGCATGGGTTCCTGAGTTATAAGACACTTTCTAATGTCAGCGATCTCATTTAATTGAAGACTAAAACCAAGACAGGCCCAGAGAGGTGCTTAACATGATTTTTAAAAAATGCACAGCAGCTCTGAGTAACTAAGGGCTCCTCAGCTCCTCTATTTAGCTCAGCACTCACCACTGCACTCCTCATGTGTCAGGCATGTGCTGGGGGTGAGGACACAGAGGGGAGCGGATCAGACACTGTCCTTGCCTGTTAGAGTTCTGGTTGCACAGACAAGTGCCTTCAGAGAGTATGGAGGTGGCTTTCACCAAAGCTCAGGGAAGGATACACAGGAAGGAGCTACCAGAAAAAGAGAAAAGGAAGGGTGGGAGGCACTGAGGGTAAAGGTGGGGATGGGGTTGGAGAGAGAAGCAGGATTCCGGAGGAAGGATCCCATGGCAGCACCCAGGGCTGGGAATTGGTCGGAAAAGATGAGGAGCCTTGGTGTGGTGACCTTCAGGGGATGGGGTCATCAAATGTGCTTGTACACAGTGCATTCTGAAGTCAGCCAGGAGGATGGATGGCAGAACAATGGAAAGGGGAGGCCAGCTGTGAGGTTTTCATCAGTAAGGGGATGAAAGATGGAGCCAGGCAATGCTGACTCGGTTGCTTAAGACAGCAGACAAAAATACTTTCCTATCCACCAAAATCAACAGTCTTCTTACCATTATATCTTCATGACTCAAGATAAAACTACAGTGGATGTAGTCATAGGACCATAGGAGGGGTCATTCAGCCCCTGCTTGAATGCTTCCAGTAACTTTGGGTTGATATAAGGAGGAACTTTGGGTTAGGGAATTAAACACTACCTTGTGGGACTTGGTGTCAATTCTAGAAGACAGCAAGAAATACTACTATCTATGGATGCCTCAAATACCAAGCAAGATGAATCCTCATTGTGTGCCAAAATTTCCCTATGAAAGGGCTGAAATAGGGATCATGGGTTCTGCTAAAATCTGGAAGTTTGGAGCCAGGCATAGGGGTACAAGCCTGTAATCCCAGTGCTCAGGAGGCTGAGGCAGGAGCCTCAGCCAACCTGGGCTATATAGTGAGTTCCAGGCCAATCTGGGCTATGTTAGGTGAGACCTGGCCTCAAAAAACAAACAAACAAATTGGAATATTGTTCTTTTTTTGTTACTCCATCCAAAAATACGTTATGCATAAGATGCATGACCCACATAATTTTTCTATAGCTTCTCTTTTAAAAGTGGATCTGTATATTGGAAGGACCTGGGAGGAGAAGAGACGGGAGTAGGACCGTAATATCTCATGGGCATTTAAAAACACATGTATATATTACTTACTAAAAAGTTAGATAAGCCTGGCATGGTGGTACATACCTGTAATCCCAGCTACTCAGGAGGTAGAGATGGGGAGGATGGTGGGCTGAGGCCAGCCCATGCAAAAAGCTAGTTAGACCCCACCACGAAACCAATAAACCCAGCATAATGGCATGTGTCTGTAATCCCAGCTATGTGGAAGGCATAGATATGAAGATCAATGTCTGAGGCCAGCCCTGTACAAAAACTCAAGACCCTATGTGAAAAATAACTAAAGCAAAAAAGGGCTGGGGGCTTAGCTTGAGTAGTAGAATGCCTACCTGACAAGCCTGAGGGCAAGAGTTCAAACTCCAGTACCCCTTTCCTCCCCCCCAAAAAAGTTAAGTAAATAGAAAAATAAGTTTCCACACTTGTGCTGCAGTCACTCAAAATGACTTTGGAAAGAAGTCTTTTTAAATGTAATACTCTAGACATTGTTTGCCTGAAATAGCTCCTATAGAGAAAGGCCCCTAAGTGACTCTTCTCAGGCATCTTGTGAAATTGAAGTTTGGAAACTGTAAATTAGTTATCAGTAAAAAGCTACCAAAATTGATTACCCTAGATGGTTGCTATAGGGCTCTCCTATAAGTAGGGAAAACTGCGTTTTTGCTCAGTTGTCGGCTTCCTTGAATTTCCAGAAGCAATTCCTCATGCTCAAAGTGGAGAACAGTCACTAGGGAAAAAAGAGAAATTGGTTTCAGAGGGGCATTATCTCTTTTATGCAACAAATTAAGAAAGTGTTTGCCTGATCAAAGAGCAAGAGAGAAGCCAGGTGCTGGCAAGAAACTGTTTTGCAATAAAAACTCGTGTAATTTGAAGGCATATTCTGTAGCTCTTTGATTACGTCATAAATCAGCATGGGTTGCTGTTGACTGAAGACAGGTGTGGTCCATTGACAGGAGATTTTTTTTTTCCATCCTAAAAGTACCATATTATATCATCAATATCTCTTCAGGGAAAAATCATTGAATATTTTCATGGCATCCGTTGGCGAACTGACCCCAAATTATAAAGTGTACGTATGCATATATCACCAGCACTTTTAAATCCTATCGGGAGTCAAGTATTCCTCTGCTCACCTGTTTATTACAGCTGTGGAGGGAAACACTAGTTTTAACAAAATGATCAAATGTATATTGCAGGACATTTATCTCCATAATCCAAACATAAAGTGGGACGACATTATTGGACTGGATGCAGCCAAGCAGTTAGTCAAGGAAGCTGTTGTGTATCCAGTAAGGGTAAGAAGGGGAAGCCCCTCGGGGGCTGTTTCTGTTCACTGTCCATTGGACAGGCTGTATGTCACACACTCATTGGGAGGGAAAAGGCTGGATGATTTCCTGTTCTCAAGTTAGCTTTTTGCCAATGCAGAGCATCAGGCCTAGTCCATTGTAGACAATTTCAAATCGTGTTTCATATTGGTTCAGGGCAGGTGTCTGCTCAAAGTGATAATTTAAGACCTAAGACTCTGGTATAGATAGAATTTCTCAGCTACTGGGCATTGGTTCAAATTAACCTGCTTCTTCCCCCAACTACCACCTCAGTATAATCTAGGGCTTTGCTTCAGCTTGGTCATGAAGACTGGATAGCTCCCTTCAGGGCCTGGCCAACCGGGCCAGCCAGCCGTGCTCATTTTTACTTCTGACACATTTCTGCATGGCTCATGAAATGGGTAAACAAATACAATAACTTCCAAATTGGGGTGGTGAGAAGGTCAGTGTATCACATCGTTTTTGGTGTATAGCAAACCACCCCACAACTTAGGGCCATAAAACAGCAACCATTTGTTTGTAATTCTGTGGGTAGGTAGTTTGGGCTGGATCCAGCCAGGCTGGCTCATGTTTTTTATACATGGTGTTTGGAGTTATTGGCCCAGCTCAATCACATGTCTGGGGCATTAGCCAGAGAGTAGCAGGGAAAAGCTTGGAGAGAGAGAAAGTTGGGATAAATGAGACAACTGGGGCCTCTCTCCATGTAGCCTCTCATCCTCTAGTGGCAAGTCAATCTGCTCACAATTGCTCCCTAGAAAGAGGCACAAAAGGCTGAATCCTAATTCACGCACATTTTTCATGGTTCTTCTTGTATTTCTTATATTGGCTGGTCTTTTATTTTCAGATCACTTCTTCTATTTGCTAATGTCCCATTGACCAAAATTACAAGACCAGGCCCAGAACCACTTCTTGGTTTTTTTTTTTTGTTTGTTTTGTTTTGTTTTTTGCCAATGCTGGGGTTTGAACTCAGGGCATCAGGCTCGCTAGTCAGGCACTCTTGTCACTTGAGACACTCCACCAGCCCTTTTTTTCTGAAGGGTTTTTTTGAGATGGGGGGGGTCTCACAAACTATTTGCCCAGGGCTGGCTTCAAACTGTGATCCTTCTGATGTCTGCCTCCTGAGTAGCTAGGATTATAGGCACCCACCTAGACCCCACCTATTAATGGAAGAAACTACAAGTAGTTCATTGACTGAACAACTTATTCATACCACTTAGTCCACTAAGCCCTGGATTTTCAGATGTTTTTATTCTAAGGAGACAAAAGTCAGTAAGTTTGAATTGTCTTTTCCCCCTCTTTCCTCTGTTCACATGTGGAGGTATGGAGTATAAGGTGTTCAGAATTGACAGAAAATTTACTCACCAGTTTCTCTTAAGTGGAACCAGACCACAGAACTGTTTAAAAGAATAGAACATCTCACGGAAACTCTGTGGATATGCTACTGCCATGGTATTAGGAGCTCTGTATATGATAGCACTGGAATTTGACATCTGTGTTAGCAAGACACTAAGAGTTCGTTGTAATTTTACTATTGTTTTTCCTTCTCCTCACTCTTTACCAATCCTTTCCTCATTTTCTATCAATCCTTAGATGATTTGAACTTGAACTAAAGGGAGAGACACACTGAAGTCCACACACATCTGTCTGGAGTCAAATGTCTTCTAATGCACTTGCCCCTGAATGTCCCCTTTTCAAAACAGGCTTCAACCCCCTCTTCTTTACAGGCATATACCTGTATTTAGTTCCGGAATTTCTTAAAGCTCATACCTGCTTTACAACCGTTAAAAGACTGCCAAATGCTCTTGCTATAGAATACTGGGGAAATGACATTCTGCACGCAAAGTGTAACGATTTTCATGGATGGAAAAATACTGTATGCACCTCTCTTTTCCTTAAAAATTTTTTTTGTTCTTTTAAGAAACCACAGAAATTAAGTCAGACATTCTTATCTAGTGTGAAAATAAAATTGGGACAAATAAGATGTATACAATAGAGCAGACCTTAAGCAAAAAACAGAAGTCAAGAATCATACTGTTGGGATGGATTTGGATCTGGAATTATTGGCTTGCCTGTGCCAAGGGCACGCAGGCTGTGGCACTGATATAAATCTCACCTTGTTCTTTGTTCCCCAAGTATCCACAGCTATTTACAGGGATTCTTTCTCCCTGGAAAGGACTACTGCTTTATGGACCTCCAGGTAAACGTATCTTTCTATTTGTGTCTTGGTGTAAGTGTGTGTGTAGAGCGAGTTGTCCCTTTAGGCCTCGCCTAAGGACTGGGCAAATGAGAGCTTGAGTGGCTTCTTCCTCTTTCTGGTGGGAGTCTGACTTCTGCCTGTGAGCAGGGAATGGGGGCTAGGCACCCACTCATCTTTACCCTCATGTGTCTCTAGGTACAGGAAAGACTTTACTGGCCAAAGCTGTGGCCACTGAATGCAAAACAACCTTCTTTAACATTTCTGCATCTACCATTGTCAGCAAATGGAGAGGAGACTCAGAAAAACTTGTTCGGGTAGGGATTCATAAGTGTGGTTATTTATTTGTTTATTTACTTAATCATTGGTTACAGGGGTTTGAACTCAAGGCCTTGCACTTGCTAGGCAGGCAGGTGGTCTACCACTCGAGCCACACCCCTACCCCCTTTTTATTTTAGTTGTTTTTCAGATAGGGTCTGGTGATTTTTGTCCATGCTGGCCTGAACCTGCAATCCTCCTGATCTTTGCTTTCTGGGTAGCTGGGATTACAGGTATGGCCACTGCACCTGGTCCTTAATTTTGGTCATTTTTTAAAAATAAGTTTTGGCAGAATATGGTGATACAAAATTATGTTGGAACTTACTCGTTATAAGGTGATATATAGATATAGATATAGATAGATACATATATATACATATATATATATGTATCTATCTGTCTATATATGTGCTAGGTTATATCCTGGATTTTGATTGCCCAAAGCCTGGGAAATAGGTTGACTGTTATTTGAGGGTATTAATCATGCCCCCATCAGCAAAATATGATCTCCTTTCTTCTGGAATTTTACCAAATACCGTTTTTTGATTCATGCAACTTAGGAATGAAATCTAGAAAAAAAAAAAGTTGTCTCTAAAGTGGCCTTTTGTTCTCCATTCAAGGAGCATTCATTATTAAGCATGTGCAGTAAACCCAGTTAACATTTATTGAGAGGCCATTGTTGTATGCCAGTCCCTACACTAAGTACTCCAAGGAAGAATCAGGAGACTTAAAATTTAATTATTCTTTCAGAATCTCTGAGCAACTCCTCCTCCACAGTGCTCAGAGCCTGTAGGGTTTGTTCCTTCTTTGCAAGGTTTATTCCATCTTTACAATATCTCATCTGAGTCTATGGTATATTTTGTACTTTAAAATTTTACTATATCCTTCAGTCATCTTAAGAGAATACCTGTTTATTATGGTGTATGTTTCAATATAATCCTGCTTAACTCTTGCCTTCTGTAGACTATTGATAAATAACCAATACTAAGTGAAAGTAAAATGTTATATATATTTTTTAAATTACCTTAAATATTATGTTCCCTTGAATGACTTATTTCCAAAGAATTATGGCCTATTTAGAAATCATAATGGAATATTTTTAAAGTATTGATTTATCTAAATTATATATACATATAATATATAGTGATGCTGGGGATCAAACCCAGGGCCTTGCACATGCTAGGCAAGCACTTCTGCCAGCTGAGCTATATCCTCAGCCTCTTAAGATTTTTTTTTTGGGGTAGGACTGGGGTTTTGAATTCAGGTCCTTGGGCTCGCAATGCAAGTGCTCTACCACTTGAGCTACACCTCTAGTCCTTCCCAGCCCCTTGATACTGTTTTCAAGTTGTTTCTAATGTGTAAATTTTTATAAATTCTTATCACCTGTTCAAGATTGTAATTTGTGAAACTATTCATTGAAATCTACTTCCTTGATCTCTATCTTGAATTTAACTCAGTGCCAGGTCCAAAGACGGGACTGGTATTTAGCTGCTCCTATGTCTGTGATATTCATGGGATTCTGGTCAGCCCAATTTCAGTCTGATTTCAATCAGTAGAAATTTAACTAACTATAAATCCTCATCAGTCTGAGACTTCTTTGGGGGCATTTTGTTTCTGTGTACTGAGTAGCAACTAAACACTTAAAAGATGTCCCCAGAATTAGTTTAGATTCATCTGGGCTGGCAGAATGGCTCGAGTGGTAGAGTGCCTGTCTAGTTTAGATTCATCTCCTGTCATGGAAAGTGGTGTTTAGGCCCATGACTGGAAGATACCGCAAAGTGTTTAAAGAAAGACTGATTATAGTCCCTGGACAAGACTTACCGAGGCAGAAGAATAAATTCAGATATTTTATGAATATTCTTAAGATAGGGAAGCTAAATGGATTTTCTCTTTTAATATTAAATGGCTAGAAAAGTCAATTAGCAAGAATTTTCCATTCTCAGTGAGCATTTTATTTAAGAAAAGTTTTCCTCTGCTTCAGTATCATTTTGTTAGAAGTCTTAGAATGAGGAAATGATTCCTTCCCCCAATACAAATCTGAGCTCTCTCCCCAGCAGTGCCTACTATTAACAGTGGCCGATGTAGCCTTCTAGAAATTTTTATTTTTATTTATTTTTTTATTTTATTTTTTTTCTTTTATTATTATTCATATGTGCATACAAGGCTTGGGTCATTTCTCCCCCCTGCCCCTACCCCCTCCCTTACCACCCACTCCTCCCCCTCCCTCTGCCCCCCACCCCCTCAATACCCAGCAGAAACTATTTTTCCCTTATTTCTAATTTTGTTGTAGAAAGAGTATAAGCAATAATAGGAAGGAACAAGGGTTTTTGCTGGTTGAGATAAGGATAGCTATACAGGGAGTTGACTCACATTAATTTCCTGTACATGTGTGTTACCTTCTAGGTTAATTCTTTTTGATCTCACCTTTCTCTAGTTCCTGTTCCCCTTTTCCTATTGGCCTCAGTTGCTTTTAAGGTATCTGCTTTAGTTTCTCTGCATTAAGGGCAACAAATGCTAGCTAGTTTTTTGGGTGTCTTACCTATCCTCACCCCTCCCTTGTGTGCTCTCGCTTTTATCATGTGCTCAAAGTCATCCCCTTGTTGTGTTTGCCCTTGATCTAATGTCCACATATGAGGAAGAACATATGATTTTTGGTCTTTTGGGCCAGGCTGACCTCACTCAGAATGCTGTTCTCCAGCTCCATTAGAAATTTTTAAATGTGCTTACATTGACATCAGTGACAGTACATTTCCCTTTCTTTTTAAGTACAAGTAGGAATACATTATGCATCAGCTTCTGTTCCTTATTTCACCCCCCACTTAACACTTTTACTTACATATCATTCTGCAGTATTACCAACAGACAGAACATATTCTTTCCTAGATCTACAGAGTATTTCATTCCATGGATGTACTGAAATGCATTTAACCAGTCTTCTTTGATGGACATTTAGGTCGTGTTCTCTCTTTTTTCCCATAAAATGCATTTTATTCAAAAAAATAATTCAAGAAAAAACAGGTAACCTTTCCTGAGATTGAAGAATCTCATCTTGTCTCCTTTGAGAAATTATTTTCTCCCTGCTTTTGAGATCTTAGAAAGATCTTGGTCATGCTGTCAAGCCCTTCCTATGAAGCTTTCAGATGAAGTCATTCAGGACCTTCCCCTAAATCACAGAGTACTTTTTCTACCATTTGTTTCTCTTGCCTTCCAATTAAAGAGTTATTTATAGGGAACCTTTGGGTTATATTCCTCTCTCCCCTCCTAATGTTCTTGCCTCTTAGGAGTTACACTATTGAATAGTTGAGTGATCTTTTTAGCAAATGTACACACCTGTTGATGCTTCCATCTTTCCGCTCCCCTCTTCCCCTTTGTATGATTTAACTTCTTCAAAGTACCTCTGAGAATCATAGACCAATGATTCCAGAAGCACTTACCCAGAATTCTAATTATTCTCTGGGAATGGAAAGAATAGTGATGAGGGCATTGGGGAGACCTAGGCCCTAGATTTGATTCTCCTTCTATCTGGTCTTCACCTCAGTGAGCTCCTTAAAAATATGCCTGGTTCTAACATAGGGTTCTAATATTCTTCTTCATTGGATAGATGCTGCTGTTGCAATCACCCGTAATAGAAGGTATACTTGGGCTTTTCTTTTTGTGACAAGGAAGAAAAAGTTACTTGTTCCTAATTAGGTGATCTCCACTGTATTTAAAAGACAACTATGATGAGTGTCCTAGCCTCATCTTCATTCTCTCAGTTCATTACACTGAGGCAGTTATTCTAGTGCACCAAGACTCTGTGAAAGGGAAGTGCTGACACATGACCCAGGATGTACTAAACCCTGAGCAGTGAGCAGGGAAGGTGAGGAATTTCCCACTCAGTGACAGGGAAGCCTGTGGGGGACACTCTGCTGCTGCTTCTGAAAACCAGACTTGAACTGCTACTGAGCCCTTGCCCTCTTATTCTGTCATGCTTTGCTAGTACAAAGTGGCATGGAGAATAAACCCCCATAGTTATTAAAGAATTGCTATTCTTTTCTAAATCTCTACTGTTTTCTCTGATCAACCAGCAAGGAACTGTGTATGGTACTCAAGAACCCATTTCAGTGTTTTTGAAATAAAAAAAAAGGTTTAGATTTTTATACTCTTTTCATCACTACCACTTCTCCCTTTAGAACTCTTTATTTTGTTTTCATATATCTGTTCTTTTGCTGGTTGCTTTCATGGTCTTATTCAGTCTATAATATTTTATTCTGGAATAGAACATTTTATTCAATCAAGAGCTGTCTTCAAGAATCTGAGCCTATCAAGCAGCAGTGTTGAGGTGGGATGGGAACCCCATGGAGTCATTTGAGGAACAGAAAGAGGCAACATTTGTCATCCTTGGTACCCATTATTACAACCCCATACTTTCACTGTATTTCTTCTTTCTGAGAATAATCCACCTACCACCCCCAAAGATTAAAGGGAAAAAATTATCACATAGTTTGACATATTTTAAGGTTTTTGGTGGCCATATGGACCATGTCCTCGGCAGGTGTCTCCAGGATTAACTATCCACCTGGAAGCTTGGGAACTGATTTTTATCTTCAGCTCTCCCACCTGGAAGCTTGGGAACTGATTTTTATCTTCAGCTCTCCCATTTATGATAAGTAACCTTGCAGTAATCATCTGCGCTCTCTGGCTCTAATTTTATCAAGTGATAAATGGAAATAATTGGACTATCAACCCCCTGGGGTGGTTGTAGGGAGAAATACTGATAATGATTACACAGTTACTGTGAAATAACAGAGTGCAGAATGAATGCTTATTATTACAATCACTCTACACTTTTAATCTCTGAAAGTATCTGAGGACTTGAAGTGTATGATGAAAACTTTGAATATATATGAATTTAAACATACCCTTGCTTTTCCTCACCCAGGTGCTATTTGAACTTGCCCGCTATCATGCTCCCTCCACAATCTTCCTGGATGAGCTGGAGTCTGTGATGAGTCAGAGGGGCACCGCTCCTGGGTAACAGACAGGATTCTTCTTCCTCTTCTTTTTTTTTTTTTTTTGTCATCATTTATCCCCTCTTGCAAGTGTGTTTGATGGTCGGAAGCCCATCGACCATTTACCAGCAGAATGAGCCTATTAATAAGCCCACAAATTTTCTGCAGACACACGGAAAGGTCTTTAAATTAGATCCTGTTAACTGGATAGCTGATTTAAGTAGTTTTTAGAACCGGAGGAAATGTCATCGTCCCTGCCCCCCCTTCCCCACAGAATGGTTTTCAGGCCTGAAGATCATCCAGCCCCAGGATCCCAGGCTGCCATAAATGA